AATTGGACATTAAACCATCCTAATGAATTAGATTTGAAGTCTGAACTGATCCTTCTGGTGGAGAAATGTCAGTCGGTAGTATGGRACTTATTCTGTCCTGAAAATGAAAGAACCTGGCCATATTTTAGTGCAAAGATATGACATATAAGTAATGATATTTTAGTTGCAAGGTGTGAAACTCCTATATAACTATATGGAAGTACTTTTATTCTAGAATAATAATTGAAGGGCTTATTGCTTATTTCTCCCTTCTCCTTTTTTCATTCCTTCTGAGTTGCCTATTCAGGTCATCGTTTGTCCTCTGGATCAGTACAATAGCCTCGTCACTGGGCTCCTTGCTCCCGTCTCTCTCTATTTCCAGTTCATCCTCCATGTTGCCCCAGGGTTACATTTGTACATTCCTGTAAGTTGTAGCCATATTCCCAGCACGTTCTAGCTGCCTGTGCAAACTGTGGTCTTAAACACAGTGTGGTTTCTCATTAGCCTGTGCCCTTCCTGGTTCATCTTTCCCTTCCAGCTACCAGAAGAATTCCTACCTAGCTTTCCAGCACAAGTGGTAAGCATATCCTATGGAAAGCTCTCCTAAGTTAGGTGATTCCCCTTTGTTCTTTACAGCAGTTACAAACCTTGATTTTAGAACTTATCAGCTTGTGCTAGGTGGCTAGTTCCTTTAGCTCAGAGACCTCTGTAGAAATAGAAGTCAGCATTCTGGGAACGTGGTGAGCCTGCATGCATTATCTCATTTAACTCATCAGGAAATTACAAAGGAATGTGCAGAGTGCTGCAAAATATAAAATAGTTGGTAACAGCTGGGGCTGTGACATAAGCCTAGGTGACCTGACCTCAGAGTTGGCATTTTGTGTATTACATTTGCTGAATGAGCCCTCACTTCTCCTCTGAGTCTTCTCTCCCCACTTATGGTTTTTTTTTTTTTTTGTCCAAACTCTGATTAGGGTATCTGAGAATCTAGCAGGAACCAAGTTGTTGTTCCCATCCTATTAGTGAAAAACACTATGTGTCATATTTGTTTTGGAAAATGCCAAGAAATTAAGGCTATTTAGTCAATCTACCTCTCCTTTGAGGGGCTAGAAAGCTCAGTGAGGGTTCTGGGGGTAATCCTTATGTTGTAGGGCATAATTGGACACATCATTCTTGGCTGGTCAAAATCTGACTTCCAGGTTATGAGCAGATACATGTATGTGACACAAGACTCTGTTACAATCCAACCCCAGAAATTTCTTTTTGGCACATTTGGAGTAGCAAGAGGACTGGATTGACGCATCCATTGCTAGGACTGCAAATTGGTGCAACGACTCTGGAAAGCRGTATGGAGATTTCTCAAAAAAAAACTAGGAGTGGAACCACCATTTGACCTGTTATATACCACTACTTGGTATATATCCAAAGGAGTTAGTATCAGCATACCACAGTAACACAGCCACATCAATGTTTATAGCAGTTCAATTCACAATAGCTAAGCTATGGAACCAACCTAGGTGCCCTTCAACCGATGAATGGATAAAGAAAACGTGATATATACACACAATGGAATATTACTCACCCATAAAAAGAATGACTTTATGAC